ACAAAATAGTATTATATCCATGCAATGGAATATTCTGTAAAAAAAAGGAATGAAGGCCTGAGACATGCTACAACCTGGGTGAACCGTGAAGACGTTATGCTAAGTGAAATTATTTAGACACAGAAGACCACGTATTATATGATTTTATTTGTCCAGTGTAGGCCAATCCATTGAGGCAGAAAGTACATTAGTGGGTTCTAGGAGTTGGAGGGGAAGGCAGTAGGGAGTGACTGCTAATGGATATGGGATTTCCTTTTAGGGTGATGAATATATTCTAAAATTAGTGGTGATGGTTTCAAAATTACGAAGAATATAAAAACCTTTGAATTGTGTACTTTAAAAGGGTGATTTTTATGGTATACCGAATTGTATCTCAATAAAGCTTTTCAAAATAAAAAGCACTCCTCAACCTCATAGCTTTTTAGGTACTTTTGTGGAATTAGCAAACACTGCCAGGAGAAAATAGCTTCAGGGGTGAAGTCATCAAGTTGGCAGAAAGGACGATCCCCAGTGTCACTCTCTCCCACAATTGACCAATTTACAACAATTAAAAAGCAAAAACTGCCAACCTGGGACTGCTGGAGCTCAGGAGAAGAGAAGGAGAGACCAGCAGAGTTCATGAAGGAGGGAGAAGCCATGGCGAGAGGAAGAAGAAACTGCTCTGGCTGTTTCAAGCCCCAGCCATGTCAGGGCCAGCCCGGTGAGAGATGGGAAGAAGCTGCAGCACACGGAGCAGGAACCAGTAAAAGCCTCAGCTGAGCCCTTTGCATGAAGTTGCCTGGAGTGTGCAGGGGAGAAGAGGGCCTCGGAGTGCACCATACCAGCCCCCAGGCCAGCAAGACCACTGACAGGGTTCCTGTGGACCCACATAGGAGCAAGGAGATGCAGCTGACCAGAGCAAGGAGCTACCCAAAGGCCCTTGAGTCATTGCGAGGGACCCACGCACAGCCTACTGCACAAGAAGCATTTAGAGTGCAGGAAGGAGTCTGGCCCGCCAGGAGAACACTGGGGTGCAGTGTCGGCAGGTGATCTGCTTTCTGATTGGCACAGGCCCACTCAGTGGAGACTGGTCAGGGAGATAGAACTGCAGGGGGCACAGTTTGCTGGAAGACTCAGTCCCGGGCCAGAATTTCCACACAGCCCAGGTGTATCTGACCTAACAAGACCTAGAAGTAATTAAAAGGCCAACAGATAAAATCTGGTCTGCACAAAAAGCCTTCCCTGGAAAATCAGCATCAAAGCAGCAATTTAGCTCAATCACAGGGCTCAAGTGCTGGTCCCCACAGGAAGTTCCCCCAGTGCTGGAATTAACCAAAACCACAGACCAGAGACAGAGCTCTGATATTAACCAGTAAAGGTCTGACGCCTCCAAGAACACCTATAGAACTAAGAGGTAGCAGTCTCCTCAAATGCCAAGTCATCAATGTAAAGACGCAAAGATCAAGAAAGAACAGAAAAACATGACACCAACGAAGGAAACAAATGAAGCACCAGCTGTAGACCCAGAGAACAGTGGATTTCTGAAATTTCTAGATTAGTAAAGTTGGATAGATATACTGCATTTAGTGTGTTGTGATATCACACATCATTTACTCTCTGAAAAATTCTATCATATATTTGTGAGACAGTGAATATAAGAAAGGCAAGTAAGGCGGTGGTAATATTATAAAAACAATTTTGACCTTGTGGACTCCCTGAAAATGAATCCTTGGGGGCAGAGGAGCAAGATGGGTTTCCCTAGAGCACGTGCTGGGAATCCCCACTGAAGCCCATACCGTGCATCTGAGCTCCTGGACCACATATCCAACTGCTACTTGGATATCTCATGGGCCACTCAGGCCTAATGTGTGAGTCCCAGCATCAGTGTTTCCTTCCCCTCTGGTGTGAAAATCAAAACAAGCTGCATTCTTGACACCTACCTCTGCTTTATCTCTCATGAATGATTAGTCACCACCTGTTGAGTTGATCTGATATTTGGCCTGAACTTTAAGAATGTTGAACTCAGCTCTGGTTAATGCAACCCCTGTTGCTGTGTTGCTGCTGATGTGGCAGAGGCTGCTGAGGGGATAGACTGTTTTTGACCTGTGTTTGACCCTAGGGCAGGAAGGGAGTGGGCCAGGGTATCACCTTTGCAATCAGAAGTTCCAGGCACCTGTGGAATATGTGAGACTGTGTGAGTTCTTTCTGCTTTTAAGTTCCAACTTCACTTGCCTTTTCCCAGCAGAATTGGGAGGAGGTTGGGATGGAGAGATATCTTAAGTCAGTGATTATTGTTTTGGGGGATCTTCCAGACATCAGCCTACTTTTCCTGCACTCATCATTGCCAATAGCTTGTCTGGTCTCTTCTTGACCTGCTCAGCCCTCCCCTTCCTCCTGCCCATACTCCTGGCATTTGCCCCTGGGAAGTTTCAGAGGTTCCCTGCTCACCTGTGAAGGCTCCTCACCCTGATAAAGTCGGTTTATCAAGGCTTTATTTTTCTGGTGTTACCATGGGAATGAAGGTTTTCTGTGTCTTTTAACATCCTAAAGTAGGAGTGATCTCCTAATATTCATTCTTCTTATTCTTCAGTCTGTTTTGTGCTTTGGTGCCAGATGAAGGCCTGAGACATGCTACAACCTGGGTGAACCGTGAAGACGTTATGCTAAGTGAAATTATTTAGACACAGAAGACCACGTATTATATGATTTTATTTGTCCAGTGTAGGCCAGTCCATTGAGGCAGAAAGTACATTAGTGGGTTCTAGGAGTTGGAGGGGAAGGCAGTAGGGAGTGACTGCTAATGGATATGGGATTTCCTTTTAGGGTGATGAATATATTCTAAAATTAGTGGTGATGGTTTCAAAATTACGAAGAATATAAAAACCTTTGAATTGTGTACTTTAAAAGGGTGATTTTTATGGTATACCGAATTGTATCTCAATAAAGCTTTTCAAAATAAAAAGCACTCCTCAACCTCATAGCTTTTTAGGTACTTTTGTGGAATTAGCAAACACTGCCAGGAGAAAATAGCTTCAGGGGTGAAGTCATCAAGTTGGCAGAAAGGACGATCCCCAGTGTCACTCTCTCCCACAATTGACCAATTTACAACAATTAAAAAGCAAAAACTGCCAACCTGGGACTGCTGGAGCTCAGGAGAAGAGAAGGAGAGACCAGCAGAGTTCATGAAGGAGGGAGAAGCCATGGCGAGAGGAAGAAGAAACTGCTCTGGCTGTTTCAAGCCCCAGCCATGTCAGGGCCAGCCCGGTGAGAGATGGGAAGAAGCTGCAGCACACGGAGCAGGAACCAGTAAAAGCCTCAGCTGAGCCCTTTGCATGAAGTTGCCTGGAGTGTGCAGGGGAGAAGAGGGCCTCGGAGTGCACCATACCAGCCCCCAGGCCAGCAAGACCACTGACAGGGTTCCTGTGGACCCACATAGGAGCAAGGAGATGCAGCTGACCAGAGCAAGGAGCTACCCAAAGGCCCTTGAGTCATTGCGAGGGACCCACGCACAGCCTACTGCACAAGAAGCATTTAGAGTGCAGGAAGGAGTCTGGCCCGCCAGGAGAACACTGGGGTGCAGTGTCGGCAGGTGATCTGCTTTCTGATTGGCACAGGCCCACTCAGTGGAGACTGGTCAGGGAGATAGAACTGCAGGGGGCACAGTTTGCTGGAAGACTCAGTCCCGGGCCAGAATTTCCACACAGCCCAGGTGTATCTGACCTAACAAGACCTAGAAGTAATTAAAAGGCCAACAGATAAAATCTGGTCTGCACAAAAAGCCTTCCCTGGAAAATCAGCATCAAAGCAGCAATTTACAACGGGATCGCAACCCTCGGTGTTGCCCCCGCGCCTCGCTCAGCCAGTGAGCGGGAACCGGTCTGTATGTGGGATCCGAACCCTCGGCGGGAGCGCCGCCGCACTTCCCAAGTGGCGCACTAGCGCAGTGCGCCACCGGGCCGGCCTATTTTATTTATTTTTTGATGTGCCTTATCTCTCACTAAATTCATCTTTAAACCTAATTCATAATTTAGGTCTTTGAAGGTAATTGTGAATAAAAATCTGGAATGAACCATACTCAGCTAGAATCAAAACTGTGTTAAAGCAAAGCACTTCTAGTTTAACCAGAACTGAACTTAATCTTTTGAACTATTTTTTTTTTTTTGCAAGTGGCTAGTACAGGGAACCTAACCCTTGATCTTGATGTTACCAACACTGCACTCTAACCAACTGAGCTAACCGGCCAGCCAACTCTCATTGAACTATTGAAGTCAAACATAACTAGAACGTAATTATATTCCCTAATGGGAAAAATATTCTTCAAACTGATTCAAGCCAGCATTTAATTTGACTTGGATCCATGGACAGTTCCCCTGGCTGTTTGCTGATTACTTAGTTACAGTAAAAATGTTTCACACTATACCAGATTGTAGGATAGTATGAGGTTACTTCAAAAAGTTCCCGGAAAAATGGAATTATAATATGAATCTTTCTGTGAATCTTTTGAAGATCCCTCACATTTAGTAAAGGACCCTCTCACTTATCAGCAACTTTGGATGTTACCAGTATGTAAGAAATGTAGGAATGGTGGATCTGTGGCATGTGTGTATGGTCATATGTTGGAATTTCTCTAACACTTCACCTTGTTCTTTGCCTAGACAGTCATTAGTGTTAAATCCAAGTAGAAAAAAGATTGACTTGGTCCATAATTTTTCTACCATTCCTTTAACGTTGGTCACACTGTTTGAAGATAAACTGTATGTATGTATGTGACTCATAACTTGCTTATTTTGCGTTCATGTTTTATAACACCTTTGCTGTGCCAGGCCTGTTGTACCATCCCAAGGAAGTCTAGAAATGATTAGATACTTTGCTGCTGCCTTTCAGACACAGTAGTTTTCAGGCCAACTGTCAAAGGGATCTACTGCCATGTGTACAGGTGGTATAGTTTGAGTGTGCCTCTCACTGACTGTGGTCCTCAGCCCCAAGGCCCGTGAGTCGCCTCATCCAGAGTGTTGTTGCAGGTGAACCACTGTCTACCAGAGAAGATCGTGGTGTACCGTGATGGAGTGTCTGATAAAGACAAAAAGGAAAAAAAAAAAAGTACTTTATTTTAAAGAATACATATAACTCACTCAGGAAAGCATGGTGCTGATAACCCCAAGGTCAAGGGTTCAGATCTCCGTATTGGCTAGCCACCAAAATTTTTTTAAAATTAGGCAATAGATTGAATTTTATCAATTTGTAGTTGTTGCTTTTAATATGATTTTTATCTTTTCACTATTTTTTGTTTTGTTTTTAATGTTAAAGAGAAAAGAGGTGAAGAAGAGGAGAAATCTAGGGTTATCAGAGGGGGAAGGGGGAGGGAAAGAGGGATGGGGAGAGATTGGACAAGAGGCATAAAAGAATAAGTATGATTTGTAATAATATATATATTAATAATATTGATTTGATCAACATATGCCAACGTTGAACCCCCAAAATATGTATAATCAATTATGATTCAGTAAAAAAAAAAAAAAGAAAAGAGGTGGGAGTCCCATCTTTTAGAAGACACAACTGGAGGCTTCTGGTGCTACATAGCTGTAATTAGACCCCTAAATTACTTATTTGATTCCCTTATCTTTTTCACATTTCTCTATGTATACAAATGTGATCTAAAAGTCTTTTGTCTCTTTCCAAAGGCATGTCATGTATCAGCAGAACAAAGAAAACTTCCAGGATGAGTGTACTAAGCTTCTGGTTGGCAATATTGTTATCACCCGATACAACAATCGTACGTATCGTATTGATGATGTGGATTGGAATAAGACTGCAAAAGATAGCTTCACAATGTCTGATGGGAAGGAGATCACATTCTTGGAATACTACAGCAAAAACTATGGGATCACAGTTAAGGAAGAGGACCAGCCACTGCTGATCCACAGGCCCACTGAGAGGCAGAATAACCGTGGGACAGCACTTTGTGACTCCTTCCCCTGGGACAGTGGTAGATCATACAATAACAAGTTGTGAGTGGTAAGTGGGCAAAAAACATGGTATTTGAAGAAGAAAGGGTGGAGAGGTTATCTATTTCCTGGGTATTGTAATGGGGAGGTTGCTTGGGAGGTGTGGAATGCAATCCTCAGAGACTGTATGGTTAAAAAAATAAAGCTTTAAAAAACTAATAGCAGCACCAACAAAGCTTTTACCTCATGTGTAAATTAATGAACATAAATTCTTTTCCTAAGATAGTGCATGCTGAACCTTCTACACACAGATAAGGGAGTTTCTACCATGATCATTATTATTATTATTATTTTCTTTTTTTGTGACTGCTGAGTAACAGGGATCTAACCCTGAACCTCTGGACCTTTAGGTTATCAACACTGCCATTCTAACCAAGTGAGCTAACTGGCCAGCCATAGCACCATTTTTAAATAGCCTGTTAAGTCAGTAGACCTGGGTTCTAATCCTGATTTGGTCCCTGTGTATCTTAGATCTAGTCGTTTGACTCTTTTGAGCCTTAAGTGAAGGAACTAGAATGATCTCCCAGATCCTTTTCAGCTCTATGTGGCCAAATCCAACCATATCACTAATTCGTGCTTTTTCCTTAGGGTGGATTTCTACCTTGTTGCCCATCACGTACGGCAGGGCTGTGGCATTCCTACACATTATGTCTGTGTTCTCAACACTGCAAACCTGAGCCCTGATCACATGCAGAGGTGAGCCCAATCAGTTACGTACCCTGTCTCGCTCTTAAGTCATTCTGGCCAGCTCGCTAAGGTGGGCTCCCTGCTCACCCCCAGATATGTCTTTGACAATAATGGTATCTTTCTGAGGAATGAAAATTACTTGAAGAGCTTTAACAAAATACCGATGCCAGGCTTCATCCACAAGCATTCTGAGACATTTGTATTTTTAAAAACTACTCCAGATGATTATGATATAGAGCCAGATTTGAGACTCAGTGTCTTGAGTTCAGACTATACAGATACTCTGCTGGCGTACTTAAGCTTCTGTAGCCTTTTCTTATGGATGAAAGAGATGTTCCTTTTTTGGTGTTTTTCTTGTTGTGATATAAAAATAGGGAAAATAGGGAGATGCTTATGGTGAGGGGATTTACCCATGTCCTCTGACTTACAAATAGCAGAAAGAGAAACATTCTGCTTAAAAACAATGACTCCAGGGCCGAGCCCGTGGCGCACTCGGGAGAGTGTGGTGCTGGGAGCGCAGTGGCGCTCCCGCCGCGGGTTCAGATCCTATATAAGGATGGCCGGTGCGCTCACTAGCTGAGCACGGTGCAGGCGACACCAAGCCAAGGGTTGCGATCCCCTTACCGGTCACAAAAAGGACAAAAAAAAAAAAAAAACAATGACTCCAAAAACTGCATCGTGTCTTGCTCAGTTTTTCAATTTGCTGGAGAGTACACTGTGCGTTATGTCCCCAAGTTGAAGGCGGAGGGTGATAAGGATCTTATTTGCTTTTTGGCCTACAGGTTGACTTTCAAACTGTGCCACATGTACTGGAATTGGCCTGGTACCATTAGAGTTCCAGCTCCTTGCAAGTATGCCCACAAGCTAGCTTTCCTGTCAGGACAAATCTTGCATCACGAGCCAGCCATCCAGCTGTGTGAGAACTTGTTCTTCCTGTGAGTGCACAGCCTGCCTGTCAGCCGGTGAGGAAGGGTCAGACTTTTGGACTCAGCCATGACTCTTCCAGAACCAACAGACTGAAGTGGACTTTTGTGTTGGCGTTTTCTCGTTCTCCAATTCTGTAGAATAAGATTTCTATTTTTCTTCTTTTTTTCTTTTAGACGTGGTATCACCAAGAGCAAATTTCTAAGTATCAGCTAGAAATGCTGTGCTGCCTTTTAGAGCAGTTGGCAGTAGCATGCTGCTGTGCAGATGGAGTGGTTGAGTACGGGGGAACCACTAAGAGCCTCCCAAGCTAACATGAGCTGTGCAAACCTGCAGAAGTAGTGATTACACCTATAAACCATGCTTACTAAGCAGTTCCCATTTCTGGCACCAGAGGTGATAATGAATGAAGTCATCACAAGATTCTTAAAGTAGAGAGGTACTTTATTTGGCCAACTGGGAAACTTAATAGAAAGGCCTGTGAAGCAAAATTTTTCAAATAGATATTGCTATTGCTGGCAGGTATGAAGACGTGTCATAAAACCAGCTTGTGGTATAGTCAGGTCCTTGCTGACTTAATCTTCTCTGGGGATTAAGTTTATGATGCCTATGACCTGAGTCGGATTTGAAAGTGGCTTTCAGTTATTCCTTGGCCTCTTGAGAGAGTCCAGTTGAAGTTTTTTCTGTATCTTTTAGTTATGTTACACTGTATAACATGTTGATTTCTCCCCTCCCACCCAAATACATACACACACCCACACCCACGCACCCACCCCTTTGCTCTTTGTAACTGATCTTCAGTAAGTTTCAGGTTTGTTTTTTTTGGCAGGGTGGCTGGCCAGAACAAGGATCAGACCCTGGACCTTGGCATTATCAGCACCACACTCTAACCAACTGAGCTAACCAGCCAGTGCCTTAGTCTCAGTTTTTGAAGTAACAATCAGAACACGGGGAAAAATATTCAGCAGCTAGGAAGCTTCAGGATGGGTTGTGAGTTTTTATTGAATCTTTCTTCCAGGTGTGTGGCCTTCATTTCTGTTTATATATGTTTATAAATGGAATTACTCATCTTTCTTGCATAACAACCTCTTCCCGGCTGTTGGCTCACTTTGCTAGGAATTTTTCTGAATCCGGGTTAATATTTTCAGAAGTCAGCTTTGGAAAACGTGACACTCCTACCAAAGTCCGGATGTTACAGTTTAGAAAGTTGTCAACCATGCCTGTGGATTTTAGTGTTTGGGGGAAGCACTGTTTTTCTGTGGGTTTTTTTTTTTCCCTCTCCCCCTATTTTAAAATCATCTTCTAATCCCTTCAGGCTTAATTCTATCTTATCTTGCTTTACTGGATTTTAAAAGCCAGTCTTATTTAACTTTTTCAAATTTGTATTTTTTTTTTTTTTTTTGGTGATGGCAGGGAAGGGGACAAGGTAACAAATACCATTTTATAAGGACAGTGTGTGAGAAGAGAAACTTTAGCTTAAAACTCCTTAGAAGAAGAAAAGCAAGAGAATTTTTAGTTAGTTGCAGCACCAGCAGAGGTTGAGGAGAGATGAGGATTGTTGGCCTTTAAGTGTATTTCTGGTTTTGTTTGGAGTGTGGGACTCACAGGGTAAGGCTAAGACCTGAAATTTTAAAATGATGGACTCAAACAAATTGAATCACTGGTCTCTGGCTTAACAGATTAGTTTTCTGATTTTCTTTAGCAGCATTTTGAATTTCTCTTTTGAAGTTGGATTTCCTAATACTCTCTTTCTCTTAGATAATCAGAACAAATACTTGAATATAATACAAAAATTTCTTCACTTTTTATTCCTAGTTTTCTTGCCTTGTTTTTTGGTTTTAGTGCCAAATGATTGGGTCATGGGGTGTGAAATAAAAAGAAAATTTGTATAAATGTGTAGTTGTTTTAAAATAGTGTCACTTACTTATTATATTGATACAGTTCTTGTCCTTCAGAGACCACAGTGCTTCTTAGAGTCATTCATTTATTGCTCTGCACACAGGGTGCTACTCCAGCATTGGTACCCAGATGATTTCCTTATGGGCTGGGCAGTAAGACTTATTGGAAAAGGTACTAGCAGTCTCACTTCTGGGACAGACACGCGCGCATGTGTGTGTGTGTGTGTGTGTGTGTCTTGTTTATTAGATTTCTTTTCCCACCAGACACTGAGAGCCAGCCAGCTTCCAAGGGTGGCCTCCCCATCACCCACATTCATTTTTAATGCTTGCCCTTCTTTACATATGCAGTCATGTGTCACCTAACATGGGGATATGTTTTGAGAGATGGGTCGTTAGTCAATTTTATCGTTGTGTGAATATCACAGAGTGCACTTACACAAACTTACACTGTATAGCCCACTATACACCTAGGCTATATGGTATAGCCTATGGCTCCTAGGCTGCAAACCTGTACAGCATGTTACTGTACTGAATACTGTAGGCAGTTGTAACACGAGGATAAGTATTTGTGTATCTAAACATAGAAAAGTACAATAAAAAATGGTGTTGTGATCTTATGGGACCACTGTTTGCATATGCAGTCAGTTGTTGACCGAAACATTATGTGGCGTATGACTGTACTTTACAGTGTGTCTACAACCCTTAAAAATATCTTCCCAAAGCACCTTGGCTGCTTGCTTCACCACTACATCCCTTAAGAACACTGCAGTTTTTTATATTTATTTAGAATATCCATTCTTAGGGGCCGGCCCGTGGCTCACTCGGGAGAGTGCGGTGCTGATAACACCAAGGCCCCGGGTTCGGATCCCACATAGGGATGGCCAGTTCGCTCACTGGGTGAGCGTGGTGCTGACAACACCAAGTCAAGGGTTAAGATCCCCTTACCAGTCATCTTTTTTAAATATAAATAAATAAATAAATAAAT